GCCCTGGTGACCGCCCCCAGCCCCCCTGCCCCCCCCCCTTGCCCTCATTACAGCCACCAGTCCCCTTCCCCCAGCGCATCCCCCCCAGCGCTGATCCCGAGCGGCCCCAGGGCCGCGCTGGCATCGGGGAGAAGGGCAGAGCCTGGGGCGGCGCGGGCAGGGTGCTGCCAGGCCCCTTTCAGGGTAACCGGAGCTCCTGCAGCCGAGGGGCCCCGTAACACCGGGCTCAGGTAACAGGGGCCCGGCCCCAACCTCCAGGGAAAGCAGGTGCCTTGCCGTCACCAGAGGGTTTGTTGTCACCGCCGGTCCCACGGAGCCAGCTCAGGGCTGGCTGCGAAGCAAAGGTGTCCCCTGGCGTGGGCTGGCAGCGGGCAGGGCCGAGGTGTGCCCCAAAAATCAGTCTCCTGTGCAGACCGAGAAGAGGCAGCAGGAGGAGAAGGGTTGGCTCACACCTCAGCCTGACACGTTTTTTTAGGCAAGGGCCGGTTTCAGCAGTGGGTACAGGCTCCTGACCAAGGCACAATCCGGCACTCCAGCCCTCCCCATCCTGTCCCACGGGAGCATTTCAGTGCGTGGATGGGCTCAGCCCAAAGCGCCGGCCAGCTGCCAGCCCTGCCCCTCCTCCCCAGCCCTCCTTGTTCCGGGGATGCTCCTGTCGTCTTCACCTCCATGCTCACAGGGATCCCGCTCGCAGGGATCCCTCAAGGTCTGCCACTGCTTCGCTTTAAATATCCCGTAAAGAGGAGAATATCCCCCTCCCACGCTGCAGACCTTCCCCAGCACAGCTTTGCTCCAAATCCCAACCAGCCCAGCACCGCCAATTAGCGGCTTCACCAAAATCCCCTCCCCAGGCTCAACCTTCAAGCGACCCGCATGGGCTGAGGCAGTGGTGTGGCAGTGCCCAGGGGTCCGTAGCCCCTGGCACAGGGCACCCCGCTGTCACCAGCCCCCGTCTGGCGCAGCAGACGGGATGGGAGAGCCGGAGCAGCGTGGCAGGCAGTGCCACGACGCCGCAGCCCGGGTGTGGGCAGGTGGGCGTGCGGTTGTCCCTGTTCCCAAGCAGGCAGTGCTGGGGGAGGCCTCGGCAGCCAGAAGCCACAGTGATGGGAACGACAGCCGGTGTGACGGGAGCCTCCCGCCTGGGGAGCTTCTCCCACCCCCTGTCCCGGAGGAGATCCCTCCCGCAGCTGAGCTGGGCGAGAGGCTGCACCTCCCCTGAGAGCTGGGTATCCTCATGCCCTGTGCCTCCTACTCCGGCCATCCCTGGAGCTGCTGCACAAGGAGGGGACTCTGCCCTGCCGTGGGGACCTCCCTGGCCCCATGATGTCCCCTCCTGCTGCCCAGGGCCAGAGGGAGAGCCCCGCACTTCCCCACTGTCCCAGGAGCGTGATTAATGTGGTCTGACAGCACCAGCCCTCGGCTGGGGCCCAGCCCAGGAGAGTGGGGACGTGGG